AGGGTTTCTCATTGTAGCCCTGTCTGTCCTGGAACTCACTCTGTAGACCAGGCTGGCCTCGAACTCAGAAATCCACCTGCCTCTGCCTCCCAAGTGCTGGGATTAAAGGCGTGCGCCACCACCGCCCGGATCTCTCTTCACTTTCAAGTGACTGTCTCCTTCAGCATTTGGGGCAAATCTCCAGAGCCTAGTTTCCAGAATCCTATTTCTCTCTCCAGGATGTCCTATGTTCTAATTCTGCCTCAGTTCATTGATCATAGGCTTTTTATTGAGAGGTGTTTCCACACAGTGCAAAAAGAGTCTCTCTACACAGCTCAAATAAAATTGGGCAAAAGATTTGAATAATATTTGACTAGAGATTTTTTTATGCCAGCTGAAGAAGATGTTCAACATTCTTAGTTATTAAATGTAATGAGGTATCACTGCAAATCAACTACAATTATAATTACTAAAGAAGTATGTGGTACACGCATGCGTGTAGAGAGAGGTAGATGGATTTCTGTGAATTTGAGGCTAGCCTGGTCTGTGGTCTACATAGAGAGTTCCAGGCCAGTCAGGATTGTATAGCAATTGGGAAGGGGGGCTGTCATATGTTATATACTCAAAAATCATCATAAAACCCATTATTTTGTACAATTAATATATTTTAATATAATTTCTAAAAATATGAGCAGTTTCTCTTTCTTTTTTGGTTTTTTTTTTTTTTTTTTCAAGACAGGATTTCTCTGTGTAGTTCTGGCTGTCCTGGAACTCACTCTGTAGACCAGGCTGGCCTGGAATTCAGAAATCCACCTGCCTCTGCCTCCCAAGTGCTGGGATTAAAGGCCTTCGCCACCACTGCCCAGCGAGCAGTTTATTTCTGAAGACTTTTCACTTAAAAATTTCAGACAGTCATCCTGTGTATAAGTCAAACCCAAGAATGTGAAACTGCCACACGCCAAGTAAAGCTGGACAATTTTGTTGTTGAGACAGGAACTCACTTTAAACCTTGCTGGCCTAGAACTCAACAAAGATCATCTTGCTTCTGCTTCCCAGTCCTGCAGTTAAAGGTGTGCACCACCATGCCACCATGGTCAAAAGACTTGAGTAAAACTTTACTTTTTATATTCTGTGGTTTTTATTTTCTGCCAGATGTATATCTCCCATTCCATTGGCTCTCTCTTCACTCTGGTAATGTTTCCTTTGGTGTGGGAACTTTTATTTTTATTAAATCCCATTTGTTTTATTCTTATTTCCCAAGTGATTGGAGACCCATTTAGAAAATCCTTGTCTGTGCCTATAGCCAGATTATATCTGGACAGATAACTCAGGTTAAGAGCACTTACTGTTCTTGTACGGGACTGGAGTGGTTCCCAGCACCACAATAATAGCTCACAACTGTCTGTAATTCTAGGTCTAGGAGATCCCACTCTCTCTCTTTTGGCTTCCTAGAGCTCCTGTATGCATGTGATATACATAAATTGACATGAGGCGTGGACACATACATTTAAAAATAACAAATCTAAAACTGTGTACTGAGAGATAACCCAATTAATAAATGGACCAGTGAATCAAACATTTCTAATAGCCTTAGCCATCAAAAACACACTGAGTCTGCATCTTCCATCAGATTATCATCAAGAAAATAAAACAGATGCAGAACTTGATAGAAGGGGAAAAGATCTTTATATATGTATATTTGTGGGGACATGAGTTAGTCCATGTGCTGTGGAAGTCATTATTGAGATTTCTCAAAGAACTAAAACTATGTGTCATCCTGCTATAATACTCTTGGGCAGTATACTCTAAGGTATCAAGTCAGCATAAGGCACAAATACCTACAGTGTTGGATATCTTGTTTAGACTCCGAGTATTCACAATAGCCAGATTGTGATACTGCTTTAGGTGCCCATCAGTGGATGGATGGATAAAGAAAATGTGATATAAATACACGCTATACATGTACAAAAAATGTCACTGTGAAACCATTGTTTAAATTCAGTATATCCAGAAAAGTATAAGCCATAATACAGGAAGGGAACAGTAAGTATGGAGGGGATGGAAGGTGGGAATTCAATGAGATATGAAGGCACAAAGCGGCATTACTGTCTTGATATACTGATTTATAAACTTCTTTCTTTTGGCACAAGATACATAATATTTATGTTACATTAGGCTTAAAATTAGTATATTCCACTATATAAATAATGATAAACTTACTATTTATTTTAGTGCTAGGAGGCAACCCAGGCTCTTGGTCAGCATGCAACCCCATCCCTGCCTGTGAAGGTTATTTTGTTTTATGCTTTTTTTGCTCATTCCATGTGTTCTTTGTATAAAGCAACTTACAACTGGTAGTTGCTCTCTGATTATTTCATTGGGGTTATTTTTTGTTTGTCTATCTGTCTGTCTGTCTGTTTGTTTTTAATGCTTTGCTCTCTCATTTAAGCTATGAAGATGGACATCCCTCACAGTCTGAATCAGATAATCTTCAAAGACAGACATTCACAGCCTCTCATCAGCTTCCTGGATATGCCACTACTCCTCAAGCAACTGGTAATAGTCTTTTTTTAAAGTATATTATGATTCTGGGTATATTGAGTGAAAGAAGAAAAATCAACTTTCACATTTTAGTTTATAAACATAATATGTAAGGCATCTGTGCCATGGGAATGTTAAAATGAAAATGAGATAATGTTTAGCTTTAATGATACAGCATCTATGTAATTGGTGAATGATATATTTTTCTTTCTTGCACCTTTGGCGGTTTAAAATATAGCTTACCAGAGCCAGGCATACTGGCACAGTCCTTTAACCTCAGTACTTAGGAGACAGAGGTAGGTATGAGTTCCAGGACAGCCAGATCTACATGGTGAGACCCTATCTCTAAAACAAAAATTACTTTTTAAATAAGACCAGGAATCTAACTTTAACTTTTGGGAACACTTGATACTAAAGCAAGTAGTGCTAGCAATAACATTAAAGACTCTTCTGTGGTGAGTTTTTGTCCTTTGTTGAGTCTCAAAATACTGAGGCTGCTTCATCAGGAACTCTTACCACAATTCAAGGCTCCATCCTGGCAGTTTAACTTAAATTAACTCAGTTTCAAATTAAAGGTTTGATAGTTATGAAAGATAAATTCAGTTTATATTTTATACTTAAATTAGCTACTTACCAACTTGACAGGAGCAAAAATTAAGCTTTATTTTAATGTCTACGTGGGAAGGTTGGTAATAAAATTCCTTAGCAGTTGAGAAAACATGCTGCTTTTCCAGAGGACCTGTGTTTGACACATGTCAGGTGGCTCACAACCATCTGAAACTCCAGCTCCAAAAGATCTGATGCTTCTGACCTCATTGGGCACCCGCACTCATATGGTTGAGCAACTAGAAAAAATCAGGTGAAAATTGAGACACATGGGACTCAAATGAAAGAATAATGTCAAAAAAAGGGGAAAAAAAATTAGGCTCATTCCCAGGAAGGAACCAGAGACAGGAAGTTACCCCCAGGTAGAAGAGAGGGGAAGGAGCTATGGGCAGTGTCTTAGTTAGGGTTTTACTGCTGTGAGCAGACACCATGACCAAGGCAACTCTTATAAGGACAACATTTAATTGGGGCTGGCTTACAGGTTCAGAGATTGAGTCCATTATCGTCAGGGCAAGAGCATGACAGCATCCAGGCAGGCATGATGCAGGAGGAACTGAGAGTTCATCTTCATCTGAAGGCTGCTAGTGGAAGACATCCAGGCAGCTAGGATGAGGGTCTTAAAGCCCACACCCACAGTGACACACCTCCAACAACGCCACACCTCCAAATAGTGCCACACCCTGGGTTGAGCATATATAAACCATGACAGGCAGTCAAATAAAGTGTAAAAGAAGGATGGTCAGATGAGACAGCCCTTTTCAGGAAACAGGGTTAAGCCCACAGCACCTTTTGAGAACACACAGTCCTGGGTTACAAAATCGCCAACAGTATTTCCAGTGTTTATTCAGCATATGCCTGCTAATGGAGATAATCCATAAGGTTATGATGAAATAGGATGGTACCCTATAGAAATGATGGACTTAAGGCATTTTTAAAGTAGCAATGATATCTTATAGGATGTACTTGTCTTGTATGAAACAAACTCTAAATAATTGAGCTACTCAAAACAGAATTATTCACCCCTGAATTAGAGGGAATGGTAACAGCTGTACTAGAGGCTAGCCCTCAGTGGCAATGGTCATCATGGTGGAGAGAAAAAGCCAGGAATTTGGAACAGTAAAAATACAGTGCGGGGAATTAATATAAAAGGTCAAAGTATAGCTAAAGGTCTCAGATATCAAAAGGCCCAGTGCTTTTTTTATGTGTGTGGAAAATACGGACATTTGAAACAAATTGGGAACAAGACATCTCTAAAAGCAATGGTTTTTCTAAATATAAACCAGAAAGAAGGCCTAAACTTCCAGGGGTGTACAAGCAGTGTGGCCAGGGTTGCATTGGACTAATGAGTACATGTTCAAGAGAGATATCCAAGGCAATTTCTTTTTTTCTTTTTTCTTTTTCTTTTTTTTCTTTTTTGGTTTTTCGAGACAGGGTTTCTCTGTGTAGCCCTGGCTGTCCTGGAACTCACTCTGTAGACCAGGCTGGCCTGGAACTCAGAAATCCTCCTGCCTCTGCCTCCCAAGTGCTGGGATTAAAGGCATGTGTCACCACCGCCTGGCCAAAGGTAATTTCTCGATGTCAGGAAACAAAATGGGGGTGGGGGAGGGGGGAATGCTCAAAGCCCCACGCCAAAAATTACAAGCTGTTAGCCTCTTGTCAGACAGGAAATAACAAGCAGACAGAAAACCCTCAACTGAGTATTGCAGATTTAATGCATGTCTAGGCAAATGCTGCTCTAGATTTGGCCATAGATAAACATCTTATGCTATCCCCCAAAAATCAATGTAGGAAAATAACCACTGGAGTTTATAGCCCTTTGCCTTTCAGGGGCAATAGGAACGGTCTTAGGAAGGAGCAGTTTGACTTCTCATCTAGGAATTAGGAATTATAAATGAAGATTTCAAATAAGAAATTTAAATTATGGCTTATGGTAAAAAGAGAGATGCAATTTAACATGTGATAGGATTCCTTATCTGTTACTTACTGTTTCTCTGGAAAGGCAGAGCCTATCCAGTAGAAATATCTGGAGGGTCTGGACTGGAAAACATGTGTTCTGGCAAACAGTTGTTAATGATCAGAGGCCAACATTAAAGTTGTAAGTGAATGACATTGAAATAGAAGGTTTGGTGGACACAGGAACTGATGTAACTTATCATTTCACAAAAATCATGGAATTCAGAATGGCACTTAAATGTTTATATGCAGTTTCTAGAAATTGGAAAGTCATCTTAGGGGGAAAAAAAAGGTGTGTGATGGCTTAAATGTGTGGGACAGAGGTCAAATGGGAAAGCTAAGGCCTTATGTGGTTGCATAGCCATAAATGTATGGGGATGGAATTTATTACAGCAGTTGGGAATTCAGATTAATATCCCCTCAATACCAGAGACAGTCCACAAAATAAGAGATGAAATGGAAGATGCTTCTGGGGAAGATACTGGGAAATGTCATCCAGAACAACCAGCAACAAACTGTAGGTTATCCAAAAACAGTCACAACAGGGATTTGGTTTCTAAATTTATAAGGGGGTTGGGGGTTGCTGCTGAAATTATGTCAACAGCCCTATCATGGTTGACTAAGAAGCCTGTGTGTATAGAATGGTGGTCCTTAGTAGAACAGTGGTCCTTAAATTAAAATTATAGGCACTTCAGCAGCTGGTACAAGAGCTGCTGGAGGCTCAACATATAGAAGAGTCTGCCAACCTGGGGAATTCCCCTGATTTTGTTATAAAAAAGGAAATTGGGGAAATGGGGAATGTTAATAAATTTGAGAGCCTCTAATAGAGCAATTCAACCACTGCATCCTTTACAGCCTGGAATTCCTTTACTTTATTACCTAAGGTTATGCTAGAAGATAAGACAGTGCAGGAATATAAAAGGTTCAAGAAATGGTATCCACGTTACAGGAAAGAGAAACATTGCTGTTAGGTTTTTATCTCAGTTGTGAATATGGTCCTGAGGGATCAACAGGAAGATCACACCAGACACCTGAGAACCCTGGAAAAGACACTGGAGAGAATGGAGACGCAGCTTCAAAACTGCACAATTAGTAGTGAAAATAAATGGGTAGAAATGTAGTAGGACTTATTTTAATATGTCTGGCCATTTAAAGGACCCTATTTCTTTCAGTGTTGGTTTCCTCTTGGAATTCTGAGAACAGGAGAGGATATAAAAAGCCAACAGAGACTGAGAGAAGAGTAGAATTCAGGAGGATCCTGGAGACATATGAATAGGGTCAGAGAACAGAGTGAGAAGAGAAGACGGTTAGTTACAGTAGAGACAGTGAGAAGCTGATCTGACCCAGAGAAGATAGGGGATAGTTAGAAGAATCCACACAAAGTAGGGAAAAGAGAAAAAAATTAAACAAAAGCAACATACACAAATATTAAGCAAACACTAAATATTGCCTATATCTCACATAGTGAATGAAAAAAAAATGAGAGATGTTAACTCTCTAAGGCTTTACTTTTTCTTCTTGATTTTTGTTTATTTTTTTGCCAAATTATATTCACTGAAGAAATGTCTTACACTTCAGGTACTGACTTCTCATGAACTGTCTAACAATAAAAGACACATAATTGTTATATAAAAAAAATTGAACCATTAATTCATAAGGTAATGTCAAGAAACAGCATTTGTTTTGTACATTTTATCTTATTTTGTGTTAGGAAGTTAGAGTACATTAATTGCCAGAGAGTTATATACATTTTTAATGGCTTCTTAATTTTCATATGGCATTTGTCCAATTTCATATATGTAAACTCACCTATTTTAAGCATTACAGATATAAATTGCTACATCTTTCAGAACTTTGATTTTGTTTTAAAAAAGCAAACAATCTTAACTATAATTTTAAACATTCGCACATATATCCAGTTAGACATTTTGATGTCCTGAGATCTGTCTGTCACTACCATGTCAACATTTATTTAAATATGTATTTAATATCTGTGCTTTAATTACATAAAGATTTCTATGTGCTCTTTTCATAGGCATGCATTCCTCAGCAACAGCTGAGCTGTTTGTTACAGGACCCTTGCCAACCACTGGAACTCTTCCACCACCAACTCTGTCTGCTTATCAGCATCCAGCTGCCTTTAGCAATAGAAACTTTGCGACCACCTCACCTTTGGTGCTTCAAGATTCATCTTTTAACACTACATCAAATGGAATTTTAAACCCTCATGACCCTTTGCTACAAATTAAGACTTCCCAGGGAACTGTTCCAACTGCTTTGGCATTTGAGCGCCTGGGCAGTTCTGCATTAAGTAACAGCATACCACCTCAGTCTTCAACGTATCGCTCAGCTCAAGAGTCAGCACCCCATCTTTTACAACCTCAATTTAGTTTGTTGCCTTCAACACTTGGGGGAGTCCAGCAAACTCCTCAAGCCTATAGTTCAGCTCTTTTTACCAATTCTGCTGCTTCCATTGAAAGAGCCCTTCTTCGAGAATGTAGTGTTATTAAACACCACCAGCGGCCTTCAGTTACCCAGTCTATTCAGGCACAACTGACTGGTTCACAGCATCCCTTACATAGTTACCTGTCAAGTGCAAGTATTGGTAATTTTCAGGAAACATCCAGGCAGTCGTCTTTATCCTGTAGTTCAATTCGAGATTCTACTCAGGTGAGCAATGGAGTATTGCAGCAGAAGACCCCTCAGGTCTCAGCCGAACTTGCTCAGTCTTATTCATCTGTAATTCCATCGTCAGGGTATCTTCCTTCTGCTACAAAAGTAGATAGCTGTTCTACAAAACAACCACTAACATCAGCTACAATTCTGAAGCCTCAAAGTGTAATTCCTCCTGTGCAAACACTAAACTATTCTAAACCTTTACATAACCAGAGTTCCGTAATATCAGGTCAAGCACAAATTTATTCTACAGCACAGCTACCAAGCCTTTTATCAGTCAGTCAGTCCCAAAATTATGGTTTAGTACAGCCACATAATGTGCCATCTATTGTTCATTCACAGGTTTATAGGTCTAGCAGGGTTGAGAAATTGCCATCCTTATACAAAACATTGACTTTTTCTGGATCATCTCAGCCTGAAACCTCTGAAAATCAGACACTTAGTTATTCATCCAATCAGCAAGAAGTACTATCTTTAGTTACAAATGAGAATTACCCTACTCAAACAAGAGACCTGTCATCAGTCAGTGAGTCTCAAAATTATTCTTCTGGTCACTCTCAGGGTTTATCACCAGTTAGCCAAACACAGGTCAGTTACTCATCTCAGTCGCAAGTTTTATCAGTTGTTAGTCCTTCAGAAAGCTATGCATCAGGAGAGTCTCTGACATTAACAGCTCCTTCTCTTTCTTATTCTTCTGCCTCTCGTGGTCAGAGCTTGCCAGTGTCTACCCCAACACCAAATTATACTTCTATGCATTCATCCCCAAATGCTCAGACCCAAGGATCTTCTCCTCCTCAGCCCCAAAAGTTTTTGCCTGTTGTGCAGTCATCTTTTGCATCCTCTACTCGTGGTCAGACATTACAAAGTAACATACCTTCCCCTGATCCAAAGTCTTATGCTGAGAGAAAACTTGACTCAAATGTGTATACATCTTCAAAGCAAGATGATTTTCCAATGCAAAAATTACAGGCATTGCAGTCACAAGCATCCCTTGAATCATCAAGCCAAAGGCTACCTGATGGGGAAGTGAATGCTCAAGAGTCAGTTTATAAGACATCAAAGGCAGATGATAGGTATTCTCAGAGTGTAACCAGAAAGAACTCCCACCTTGAAGATCAAGTTGTTGGAGTTGCTCTCCAGGGTTCAAAACAAGAAGAAAACATGGTCGGTTCAATGACACAACTTAACCAGCAAAGTGGCCAGCCTAATAATGGAGTAGCCCCTGATCTTAAGAAGGCAACTAATTTAATGCAAACTCCACAGATAAGGTTGAATACTAAAGACCTCAACCAGCAGCACTCTCTCATGCACAAGATGCATGAAGCTAAGGTTCAGCAGCAGCATGATCAAATAATTAGTGCCTCATCTCAGATACAGATTCCAAATCATGCTTTAGGGCATAGTCGTCAGGCTCTTCCTAATGCACCAGTCCTTCTAGACTCTGCCTGTGACTTACAGATTCTTCAGCAGGCTGGGATTCTACAGGCAAGCCTGGGACAAGCAAAGGCATCCTTGCAAGTACAGCGTGTTCAGAGTCCACAACAGATAGTCCATCCTTTCCTTCAGATGGATGGTCATATCATCCAGAGCAACAGTGAACATCCTCAACAGCAGCTTCATCCTCAGAATTCTGATATTATGAAACTAGACCTGCCTGAACCTTCAAAACCATTGCAACAGCTAACAACAAAGGGCCCCTTCAGTGAAACCAATCCACATGATTCAAAGAATCAGTTTGTTTCTCTTGGATCAATATGCTTCCCAGAGGCAATGCTTCTCAGCGATGAAAGAAATATTTTGTCAAATGTAGATGACATCTTAGCAGCCACAGCAGCAGCTTGTGGGGTTACACCTTCTGACTTTTCTAAGTCAGCTGCAAATGAAACCATGCAAGATATTGAAAATACTGATTCGAAGTCTCATTATCCGCAGTCATTAGATGTCAGGCATGTAAATTCAGATTTTAACTCCATAACTACAGTAGGAAAGCCACAGAGTATTAATGATATTTCCTTAAATAGAAATCAGGTTAGTGTAAATCTTTCATCAGTACCCACCCTTCAGTCAGAAACAGTCCTTGATCAACCGAATATGGAAACACCTAGTCAAAATATACCAACTAAAGTACCTTCTGCCATGGTTGGACTGGGTCAGGAAATCCAGGAGCAAAGTTCTGACCCATTCAAGAAACAGTTGACTATAAACCATGAGTCTAAAGAAGACAGGGAAATTGCTGTTGACAGTGCATTGAATAATCACAGAAATCAAGAGTTTGGCTCTAATAGTCGGAGCATAAGTGGAGAGAGAGTGGTATCAGAGAGTGACTTTACCCTAGTAGGTGATGACAGTGGTATGTTAGTGAACCATAGAAGGAGTACACTTGCACTGCTGGCCATGTCCCAGCCAGGGGATGCAGCCCGTGGTAAGACTGAAGATGAAAAGCAAGATGTAACGTATTTTAACCTTCCAAAGGAAAAAGCTAAAGGAAAAGAACAAGGTAAAGAGGAAGAAGATAGTCAAAAACAGCTGAAAAAGTCTGCTCAATGCAAGCGACAGAACCCTAGAGGGACAGATGTGTATTTACCATACACTTCCCCTTCCTTAGAAAGCTGCGATGAAGGTTTCCAGCATCAAGAAAAGATGAGGCAGAAAATCAAAGAAGTGGAGGAAAAGCAGCCAGAGGTCAAAACAGGATTTATTGCTTCTTTTTTAGACTTCCTGAAGTGTGGACCCAAGCAGCAGTTTTCCACCCTTGCTGTTCGAATACCTAATAGAACCAGAAAATCAGGAACTCAAGTCACCCGTACCTTCTGTCCCCCACCATTTGCAAAGACATCACCTGCAGCACAGGTAACATCTGAGACTGGAGGAGTCAGTCTATCAGAAAAAGTTGACAATGAACTTAAAAATTTAGAACAGTTATCTTCGTTTTCTTCTGATGAGGAAGATCCTGCCACTTGTGGCCACGATATCTATAAGAACACCTCTGCTCCCTTAACTGTGTTGGATGCTACTTCTGATAAAACAAAGAAAACAGGTAAAGTTTTAAACAGTTTACAGTTATCACATCTTACCATTAATTTTTCTGGCTATGGCATACATTTTAAAGCCTCTGCAGTTCTGCAAATACATCCTATGGACAAGAACATCTTGGGGACTTGCTTTTTGACATTTCCTTGCATGTAGGGTTTTGGTTACGCATCTTACACAGTCTGCTATCTGCATTTTTCCAAGCATAGACATCTTAGGGCAGTTTTGGAATAGGAAGATTTGTATTATATGTTCTCTTGCTTTCTTAATATCCCAGTTTTACCCAAAAGATTAGCATTTTAATATTTGAAGTGGTTGTATACAAAATGCATGTGCATCTGGCTAAGAGAGACCTTCAAAATTCTGTGATGTCTCCCAACCATATTCCCAAATCTTAGGATAGACACTTCACTTTTTCCTTCAATTAACAGTTGATAGGTAAGTACACTTATTTATTTATTTATTTATTTATTTATTTATTTATTTATTTATTTTTGAGATAGGGTCTTACTATGTAGACCAATCTAACTTTGAATTAAGTGCTGGGATTAAAGGTATGAGCCACCAGTATAGCCACAGTTTATTTTTTTAAGGAACAGGTTAAGGAAACAATATTGAAATAATTTATATAGTCATGACTCTTTTTTTTTTTTTTTTGCCAGGAATAAGAGTCAGGAGATGGTTCCTCAGTTAAGAGCACATAACTGCTTTCCTAAGAGATCTGAGTTTGATTCCCCTAGCACCCATGCTAGGAGTATTACAGCCAATGTGATTTCAGTTCCATGGGACAACTGGTGTCTCTGGCTTCTTTGGGCACCTGCACTCTTTCAGTTACACACATGCACATCATTCTAGGGGGAGTGGGAGGCACCCAGGTGATACAACTGATAGAAAATGAACTGCCGAAGCCCATAGGACTAGTGACTAAGTGACAGACCTGCATCTGAATTAGCTTCTCTGATTTTGGAGCCTGCATTCCTGCTAAGCTCTTGTATAAACAGGAGTTTTTTTTTTTTTTTTAAAGATTTATTTATTTATTATATATGAATACACTGTAGCTGTCTTCAGACACACCAGAAGAGGGCATCAGATCCCATTACAGATGGTTGTGAGCCACCATGTGGTTGCTGGGATTTGAACTCAGGACCTCTGGAAGTGCAGTCAGTGCTCTTAACCACTGAGCCATCTCTCCAGCCCAAAACAGGAGTTTTAAGACTTGAAGAATTTTGTGATATACTTCTTCATGTCTAGACTTGAGGCTGTCTTCATTAAGAATGTATTAAATAACTGGTATACTAGATAGTTAACATAAATGTTTGATATAACTATATCTAAAGGATTCTCCAGAGTTGTGTGAGACCCTATCACGAAAAACAAAGTAAGCCTTGTGCATTAGCTCATGCCTTTAATCTCAGCACTTAGGAGGCAGAGGCAGAGGCAGGAGGATATCTGTAAATTCAAGGTCAGCCTGGTCTACTTAGTGAGTACCAGGCTAGCCAGGGCTGCTTGATGTGAGGCTGTCACAAAGCCAAATAAACAATAAAACAACTTTTAGCTGGTCTTTGTGGGTTCTTCTTTTTCTCACCCTTTATCCTTCATACCCTAACACTAGATAGGAGAGAAACAAGGATAGAGGATCAGTCAGCTGCTGTGGACAGTCCAAAGCAGCCCCATATCCCCACACCTGAGATTAAAACAAAGGCACATTCTTACAATATTTCTGTGTTTTTAAAGTACCAAAATTGTCGCTATAGTAACTTATTTTATGCCACAGGAAAATCAGCATGAAGTCAGACAGTCTTTAGATTGTAAGGGATTATTGTGGATATGGACAATCCTATTAAGGTTTTAAGTCCCTCCCAATTCAAAATGCTTTGCATGTTGCTATTCTGTTTCTCTTTAGGTTTATAGAACAAACCTTTTGTAATCTCTGGTATAAACAAGTCTCTACCCTATTTAGTTGCCTCATTGGTAAAACCCCATTGTATATACCACAGTTCCTTCATCTGCTCCTCCCCCTCTCACTCCCCTTGACAGGGTTTCTTCTTGAATTCTTGGCTGTACTAGAATTAGCTCTGTAGACCAGACTGGCCTCAAACTCACAGAGATCCATCTGCCTCTGTGTTCCAAGTGCCAAGATTAAAGTCGTGTGTCACTGCCCCGCCATCTCTTGGTGGACATTTACTCTAGTTGTATCTCTTGGCTATATAAGTAGAGCTAAAATTGTCACGAGTGCTGATTCCTGTTGTGTTCTGACTCGGGTATTTTCAGGCAAGTATCTAGGAGTGGTATAGTAGGATTGTATGGTTCTAGTTTTAGTTTCATGGAGTTTTTTTTAGGAACTTCAAGAATCTTGATTTCTTTAGTGGTTTTATTAACACCAATTTATTTATATTCCCAGTTACAAAGAATAGTGTAATATTCCTAACTCCCATTCTAAATCCTCTCATGTGATCTTGTTCATAGTGTTTTGTCTTTCTCTACACCTGTGTGTGTGTGTGTGTGTGTGTGTACATACACGAGCGTTCTCTCTCTCTCTCTCTCTCTCTCTCTCTCTCTCTCTCTCGCTCTCATGCTCTCATGCTCTCATGTTCTCATCTGACTTTGTGTCTCCCTCCATCCCCCAATCCCCTTTGTCTCTTTGTTTATTGAGGTGGAATCTGGGCATGCTTCAGACTACCAAGTACTTGGATTCCAGTTGTCCATGACCTCCCTTGGCTTGTTTATGTATGCTCTTGATAGTAGCAGCTATTCTGACTGATAAGATAGAGTCTCGGTGTAGTTTTAATTTTCTTTTTTTTCTTTCTTTTTTTTTTTTTTTTTAAGTTTTTTTGAGACAGGGTTTCTCTGTGTTCTCTGTGTAGCCCTGGCTATCCTGGAACTCACTCTGTAGACCAGGCTGGCCTCGAACTCAGAAATCCACCTGGCTCTGCCTCCCAAGTGCTAGGATTAAAGGTGTGTGCCACCACTGCCCGCCAAGTTTGCATTTTCTTAATGGTTAAGGGTTTCAGGTATTTTTTTTTCATATATGGATGGTCCATTTATACTTTTCAGAACTATCCAGTTCATTGTTTCATTTTTGCTTAAATTTTTAATTTTATTTATTTATTACTGTTCAAATAATTCACAAAGAGGGCTGAAGTTCAACGATTAAGATAAATCCAGGTCTCTTCCAAAGACCTGGATTCAATTCCTAGGAACCATGTGGTGACTAACAACCACCTGTAATTCCATTCAGGGGATCTGATGCCCATGAGTACCAGGCATGTACAGGGTACATGGATATATATGCAGAGAAACACCCATTCACAGAAAATACAATAAAATAAATTTTTAACCTTAGAATTATTTTTATATTTTATATATTAATCCCTCCAGGGATTATAGGGATTACTGATAAAAAAAAAAACTCATTCTTCTTTTTTTAATCTTATATGATGAATGTTTTGTCTAAATGTATATATGTGTACCCATACCATGTGTGCCCGATGCTCATAGAAGCCAGAAGATGGTATTGGATATTCGGGAACTGGAGTTACAAACACTTGTCAACCACCATGTAGATGCTGGGAATAGATCCTCTGGAAAATCAACCCGTGCTCTTAACTGCTGGAAGTTAAGAAACTGAGAAGACTCTCTTTCTCTCATCCTTTAGGTTGACTCTTTACTCTTGAGTTGTTTCCGTGCTGTGTAGTGGTCTTAGTTCTGCGCTGCCCTGCTTGTCATTTCTTCTCATCTGAGCCCTAACCTGTTTCTGGGTGGTGAAATATGCTGTCTTTTTTTCTGTCTTTTCTGGTTTCTTTATTTGTTTAATTACATTTATTTTGTTTGTGCATGTTTGGAGGGAGTACACACATGTCATCTTGCTTCAGGGGACAACCTGTGGGAGTTGATTCTCCCTTAAGGATTGATCTCAGGTTCCCAGGCTTGGCAAGTGACTTTACCTGCTAAGCCATTTCACCTGCCTTTGATGTTTTCCTTGTGCTTTATTTCTTGTAATAATTTCAAAGTTTTGTGTTTCAATTAAGCTCTTTCATCTGCCATGTATTCATTTTCGATATCATAAAAACTAGTCATCTAATTATTCTTCCAAATGTGGACATTCAGTTTTCCCAGCACCATTTCTTGAAGAGGCTGTTCTTTCTCCAGCGAATGTTTTTAGCACATTTGTTGAAAATCAGGTCACTCCAGCTGCAGGCTTATTCCTGAGTCTATTTTTGTGCCAGTGCCATGTTTTTGTTAGTCTGATCTGAGATCAGGATTGTGTTATTTCTAGTGTTGCTACTTGTGCTCAGGTGTTGTTTTGCTATTGGGGAACTTTATGCTCTGCATGGATTTTAGAGGTTTTTCATTTTTATTTCTTTGAAGAATATTATTAAATGTTTTGGGGTTTTTGTTTTGGTTGTTTGGTTTTTAAGTGTGGCCTCTTGTATTCTAAGCTGATTTTTTTTTTTTTTCTTTCGGTTTTTGGTTTTTCAAGACAGGGTTTCTCTGTGTAGTCCTGGCTGTCCTGGAACTCACTCTATAGACCAGGCTGGCCTCGAACTCTGAAATCCACCTGCCTCTGCCTCCCAAGTGCTGGGATTAAAGGCATGCTCCACCACTGCCCAGCCTGAGCTGATCTTTTTAAAATTGGCCTTGTATCTAAAGATGACCTGAACTTCTGATACCCCTGCCTCTGTTTCCTAAGTGCGGGAATTATAGGCATCCCCATACCCCCACCAATGTTGAGAATGAAGCCCAAGGTTTTTGTACGAGCTGAGCTAGACTTTCTCAGCTAGACCCTTGGAATTGAGATGGTGATTTAACAAACTGCGGATTTATCCTATGTTTTCTTAATTTCAACATCTTAATTCTTTCCCTTGTCTTCCTTTGGTATTCTCCTTTTTTGGTTCTTGACTTTAGTACTTAATTATTATTGTATTTTCTGTCTACTGAATATACTTAAGCTTTTACATTTCTTCGTACTATACTCTGGCCATATCCCAGTAATTGTGCTTATAACAA